GGTACAGAGAGTTCTTTAGCCTTAGACTGATTTGTGAAGCCTTCCTTTGTATTAATTATCGATTAATAAAGGTTGGGACTTAGTCCTGTAAACGCTGCCTGTTTATTGTTTGACATTGCTGTTTAAGTATTTCTATACTTAGTCAATTCTGTGGGTGTAAGTAGGCTGAAGTATTACAGACGCTGTAAGACTGCCTAGAGTGGTGTGCGAGAAAAATAAATCGACCCTCTTTCATACTCCGTCTTATAACATATATTATTTTTGCACTAATTGATTGATCCATGAATATTGGAACGTGTAGAATGCCCAATTTTATAATGAAGATTGAAGCCCCACTTACATGAGAAATTTGTATTGAATGAAAAAGCAAAAGTGATGGGATTAGTTAATAGCTCGAGTTGGACAATCTTTTCAGTTTTTTGTCTTCCTTTTTCCCCAAAAAGTTGAGGAAATTAAGTCGGAAACGAACATATTGGTTTTATATTTTCATTGGTAATTTACTTGAGTCCCAAGGAATATCCATGTTTTTGGGAAATAATATTCAATTAAGATTACTTTCATAAATAAAGTTCGAGAATTACATAAAGTTCATCTTACCAAGCTTGTCTAGTGTGACTTACATCTTCTTTATGATTTGCCAGCTATTACACGATAGCAAATGCACAGAAAGTTCCATAAAAATACACAACTGTAGTGAAGTTCCCTTTAAGGGGACCGCGTTCAACCGGGCACCGGCCAACTTTTTTTGTACTAGTGCCGCACGAAGGGCCTTTGTTTCCCTGCTACATATAGTTGTATTAAGCCCCATATCACTAACTTCATAATACACTTCTTTTCTTCATTCAAAATATTGCACACAAACATGGTAGATACATTGACTGAATTATGCTCCAAACTTGCTGGACTGATGTTCATTTTGGGTACAATTCAGCAACTTGTCCCTCATTCTTTCTACAAGCGCATCAAAACATTGTGGCATCGAATAGAAAATTATTTCTACCCTTATGTCCAAATTACCATCGATGAATACTCCAACTATAAAAGAAATGAAGTTTACTCTCTTATAAAAGTTTATTTAGGTACTAAGTCCACTAACGATGCAAAGTATCTTAAAGCTGAAATGTTCAAGAAGAGCAAGTTTTTAGCTGTTAGCTTGGATGAAGGAGAAGAGGTAATTGATGAATTTCATGGTGTGAAGCTCAAATGGAACTCTTACACGGAAACATTCCCTGATAATTCTTCAGGGGGGCGTTCTCAACTTCCGATTGAAAAGAAATGTTATACGCTAACTTTCAATAAGAAAAATCAAGAGATGGTCACCGGACAATACTTGAAACATGTGATGGAAGAAGGGAAGGCCATTGAGTTCAAGAACAAGAAGCAGAAGATCTACTCTAACGAAGAAGGGGAGAGGTATTGGTATGGTAAAGGTAAGTACGTATATAGATCATGTGGTAAATGAGTACGTATGTGAAACAACTTGGATGAATTACTAAAAAGATTTGTTTTTTTTGTACCATTTATAGGTATGTGGAGGAACATAAATTTCGAGCACCCTGCAACATTTGATACACTGGCTATGGATCCTACGAAGAAGGAAGAAATAATCAATGATCTCGTTGCTTTCAGCAAGGGGAAGGACTACTATTCCAAGGTTGGAAAGGCGTGGAAGCGCGGTTATCTTCTTTATGGTCCACCAGGGACTGGAAAATCAACTATGATTGCAGCAATTGCGAATTACTTGAACTATGATATTTATGATCTCGAGCTCACCTCAGTTAAGGATAACTCAGAGCTTAAGAAATTGCTCATGGAAACAACAAGCAAGTCCATCATTGTCATTGAAGATATCGATTGTTCTATTGATCTCACGGGCAAGAGAAAGAAGAAAAATAAAAAGGAAACAACGAATGAGGAGGAGGAAGAAGATTCAGACTCGACCACAGAGAAAAAGAACGACAAGAATGAATCTAGCAAACTTACTCTTTCGGGGCTTTTGAATTTCATAGATGGAATATGGTCAGCTTGTGGTCAAGAGAGAATTATTATATTTACGACTAATCATGTGGACAAACTTGATCCAGCTCTGATACGTAGAGGACGGATGGATATGCACATTGAGATGTCGTATTGCAAATATGAAGCATTCAAAGTGTTGGCTAAGAATTACTTGGGAATCGAAACACATCCTCTGTTTCAAGAGATTCAAAGTTTATTAGAGGAAGTAGACGTGAGTCCTTGTGATGTGGCTGAGAACTTGATGCCCAAAAATGCTTCAGGAAACCCTGAGATTTGCTTGGAAAGCTTAGTCAAAGTTTTGATAAAGGCCAAGAGAAAGGCCAGCTTGAATTCCCACAAGAACAAAAAATCCTCCACAAAACTAATCATAACTTATGGCCGTTTCAAAAAGCTGTTTCAATGATGTTTTTACCTTTAATTCTTAACTCTTTTTTCACTTGTTGGGGGTCCGGAGGTAGACTTTTTCCTTGTATACAACAACAATAACACAACATACCTAGTTTGGGTTTCGGGGAGGGTGGAGTGTACCGAAACCTTATCCCTACTACCTTTGTAGGGTAGATAGTAGAGAGGTTGCTTCCAACAATCAGTTCTAGTTCTAGAAAAAATAAGATGCTGTTACGTTGTACTCTTTTCCTTTTGTATTTTCACACTTGTGTTTGTCTAACCAAACATACTCTTTAAATTATTGCTAAAGCTTTCTCTGTTGATCATTTTTGTCATGTAGAATCATCAGCTGTCACTGTAATGAACAGAAAAGTTTTATTTGGATCATGAACTAATCGTTCAGAAGGCGAAAATCGAGGATAAATAATTAAGGATCCAAAAATTTACTGTACTGAGTTTGCAAGTAAGAAAACAATCAAAATTATAAACAACAATGAATCATAATAAACAAAACTGAGTACACTCCTACATAACAATATAATAAAACTACTAGTACCTAAGATAAAATATGAAAACATCATCTGAAAAGCTTTTTAAAACGGCCATAAATTTTTTTTAACTTTTTATTCTTCTTTGGTTTTTCTTCCGAATCTTGTTTTTCCTTCTCCCTGGCCTCTTGTATTGCCTTCTCCTTGGAATCTTTCAAAGCCAGAATCAAGTTATTCAAGCAAATCTCAATCCCTCCCGAAGTATTCTTTAGTATCAAGGTCTCAGCGACATCACAAGGACTCAAGTTTACTTCCTCTAGTAAAGGTTGAATCTCTTGAAACAAAGGATGTGTATCAATGCCCAAGTAATTCTTAGCCAACACTTTGAATGCTTCGTATCTGCAATACGACATCTCAATGTGCATATCCATGCGTCCTCTACGTATCAAAGCTGGATCAAGTTTGTCCACATGATTAGTGGTAAATATAATAATTCTCTCTTCACCACAAGCTGACCAAATGCCATCAATGAAATTCAACAACCCTGATAGTGTGAGTTTTTTTTTGCCTTCATAGTCTGAGTCTGAGTCTGAATCAGAATCGGAATCTGAGTCGGAATCTGAGTCATCCTTCTTCTTATTCTTTTTTGCCTTCTTTCTCTTTCCAGTGAGATCAACGGAACAATCAATGTCTTCAATGACAATAATAGACTTGCTTGTTATTTCCATGAGCAACTTCTTAAGTTCTAAGTTATCCTTTACAGAAGTTAGCTCAAGATCATAAATATCATAGTTCAAGTAATTTGCAATTGCTGCAATCATAGTTGATTTTCCAGTTCCTGGTGGGCCATAAAGAAGATAACCGCGCTTCCACGCCTTTCCAACTTTGGAATAATAATCCTTCCCGTTGGTGAGAGCAATGAGATCGTCGATTATTTCCGCTTTCTTCTTAGGATCCATAGCCAGAGTATCAAAAGTTGCAGGGTGCTCAAAATTGATATGCTTCCACATTGAGTTGTAACACGCCCACCAAGAAGGCATTCTATCGTTACAATAAATCTTCTGCTTCTTATTCTTGAACTCAATTGCCCTGCCTTCTTCAATCACATGTTTCAAGTATTTTCCGATGACAATCTCTCGATGTTGCTTATTGAATGTAATTATGTAACTTTTCTTCTGACTAGGCTGGGTTTTTTTTTTACTCCCCTGAGAATTATCATCGAACGTTTCAATGTGAGAGCGCCAGCAGAATGTAGCTCCTTCGAATTCATCAATGATTTCTTCTCCTTCGTCCAACATAACACAGAAAGACTTGCTGTTTTTGGGTTTTTCAACTTTGAGATACTTAGCACCAGTGTCGACGGACTTGCTAAACAAATAAGTGTCGACATGTCTGTAAACTTGGTTCATTTTTCCATTGGTGAGTTCGTCAATCGTAATCTGAACATGAGGATACAAGTAATTTTCGAGTCGATTCCAGAAGGATTCGATTCGTTTGCAGAGTATTTGAGGGAATAGTTACTGAATTGTGCCCCATATGAACATTAGTCCAGCAAGCTTCGATCCTACTTCAGTCAATGAAGCTCCCATTGTGTTTTCCCTACCTTAATTTTGTGACTTGGTATCCTTGAAGATGTGTGTATATATAGAGGTCATGCCCAAGTTCATGTAGAAAAAGGAAATTTATTAGTTTCCCAAGTCGTATTGTAATAGCATTTGAATTATATTCCTGAAAATTATAATTCTTTACATTATTAATATAGTTCAAACTATTATAATTGGTAAGTTTCTAGTTTTATCGTATTCTGTTTTTAAATTATAAAATCAAACAAATTGTCTTCTATTCCTACTATATATATAAAAAGAAGAGGAAAACCTTTTCAACAAGGAAAGAAACTGTCATCGATTCCTAAAATTACTACCTTTTGCGATTTGGAATCAATTTGTTTACAAAAATTCTAACGTAAATTAAAGAGGAAATACTAAGGGCCCGTTTGGCCATAAATTTTGCAAGTAAAATTTGGGAAAAAACTTGGCAAATTTTGTTTGTCCATACACTTTTTTATTATTTGGCAAATTTTCCAAATTTCCAAATACTAGAAAAAACTAGTATTTGGGCCAAATTTCATTATTTGGAAAGTTTTAGAAATTCAATTTTTACCCTTAACTTTTTATTTTACAAAAATAATATATTTATTGACACCAACCAATTCAATTAGCTCCTTTCTACATGCATTCTTTTGATTTCATACATTCCTTTATTACAGTTAGTCTTAATGAACTAGCTACTAAATAAAACATGAATTGCATTTATTTTATTTTGGTAGATAAATATTACGTTGTTGATGCTGGTCTACGGAATACAAGAGGATTTTTAGCTCCATTCATTGGAATGCGCTATCATTTGCAGGACTACCGAGGAAGTGAAAGAGAGCCTAAGAATGGAAAGGAGCTATTTAACTATAAGCATACTTCTCTCCGCAATGTAATTGAAAGAACTTTTGGTGCATGAAAAAGTAGATTCAGAATACTAAGACAAGGCATGAACAACTATGAATGTGACATGCAAGTGAAAATAGTAATTGTTTGCGCTGTATTGCATAATTTTTTACGTGAACACCAAAGTAGTGATGGAATATTCAATGAATATGAAAATGATGATATGGTTGTTGATGAAAGTGACGAACTACTGGCTCAGGGTAACAACATTGCTTCATCTTCTCGATCGTCTGATTCGAAAATGTAAGCTCATCGAGAAGAGATTGTTCATAAAATGTGGGAAGATTATATTAAAGAATAGGTTGAACTCTTTCAGATGAGAAAGCATATGTTTTTCAGTGATTGCAATATTTATTTCCTTTTGTTTTCTTCTCTTTTTTTCCCCGAATTTATATTAGTTGTATTTTCATTATCATGATTTGTACCAAGACCTTTTCACTACACGAATATTTACTGTAATGTCTTGTTGAATTTGTTGCGGAAGTCATAAATCTTGTTACGTGAGATTTCTATTGTGCTATGTAATACAAATGTATGGTTAGTTTGATAGTTTTAAAAACTTATGGGTATAAATCATATTTCTTAAAAAAATGAAATATGTTTCTCAAATTCTATGGCAAAGCACATGGTAAAATTTCACCCAAATTTTCATCCAAATAATATTTGTCAAATTTTTTTGAATATCTATGACCAAACGCTAGCTAAGTTTATTGAGTATTTATGATGTTTTTTGGAATAAAAATAATAAAAAAACTTCTCAAGATATTTTTTCTCTGTTTTTTGAAGTTGAATTTGTACTTGAATGAAAGTAGTTTTTATAATTGTTTCATAACAAAATTGAACATTACTTAATATTCTAAATTGATCGACACCAATGAACCTCAAGAAGGGTCGGATCAATCTAAGAACCAATTAAGCCCAGTTACATAAAATTTGGGCTTTCAATGATTAGGCTCAGATACCAGAAATTGGTTATCTGATCATGATACGACCCAGATAACTTTAAACTCTTTATTATGAATATAGGGTGAAGGATTATTTCGTGTACATATGACAATATTGCAGCTAAATAATTGATGAAGCAGATAAATGATGAGTAGCCCATTTATCTGGACAGAAAGTTATAATAAATTGATCGGATGAACAGCTGAGCACAGGCGAAGGCGTGTCGAAAGCATAACTAACGTATGAGGGACAAGCATTCTTGAACAAACTTGAGTACACACTCGGCTTGCATTTTTCAGGACTTCCATATTTGTTCCTACAACAAAACGAGTCGAGATTGAAAGCTAAGCAAGCACTTTTACACGCCACCACTTGTCCTCCATCATTTACGACCTATTAAAAAAATCATAATCAACTACTCGAATTAAAAAAAAAATATCTATATGAGATGGTTATGCACTTCAACATATTAACGTACCTGAAGCTCAGGTGGACATGTGTCTTTCAAGTTTTTGGTGCACCCTCTAATAAGACATTTTGTTGATGAAGGCTTATTTGTTACCGAAACAGGAAGGTTATATCCATCAACTAAGCTTACATCGTAGAAACTTGGCTGCTTTTTATCATATTGTATTGTCATTTCTACGAGTGTAGCTGGAGGAAGGCCTATAGTTCCTTCGCATTCGAGTTTTCCATCACAATCGCCTGTTTCACAGGCTGGTTTGTGATTGGTGGGAACGTTGAAATTACAGCCGGTTCGAGCCCAAATGCGTCCACTCCAGTCTCCTGGGGCTCCAATTCGGCGAACTCCGCCGGATGGAAGGTAGAAACCACCGTTAGATAAAACTGGATGGCCCGTGTTTGGGGCAGTTGCTGGCCAGATAGGGAAGGGGCATTTGTTACTAATATAAATACTGCATCCCTCCACCTCTCTTAGTTTACCTGCACAAAAATTGTTCCATGTTGAATATATGGTACCGCATAAACTCTGTGTAACAACGGGTTCGCAAAAAATGTTTTTTCCGAAAAATAAGTGAATTTCTAATTTATTTTATCATGTTTTGGTTAATAAACTGAAAAATATAATTTCCTTATCTAAATTTTTTGAAAGTTTGTGGGCATTTTTGAAAGTTTATTAGATTATCTTAAAAAAAAAAAAAGAGTAACGACAACAAAATCATAACATAAAAATGAGTAATGCATTAATCTATTTGATTTTGTTATAAATCCATTGAATAGTGGATTGTCCATTTGCTTTCTTCATGAGCTCATTCTATCATGTATCTATATTTTCAAGGTGACATGAACCTTTGTAGATAATTATGTACCTATTAATTGGAGATTTATCATGTAGGCCTTTGGGGTAATATTTCTACTCTATTAGAGATATCATTCACCTTTTGTTTAATACACTTGAATAAGAAAAAAGTCTTCTCGTACATCTACTTCTCTTATCTTTTTTCTTAATACTTATATTATTCTGACCTTAGATTTTATAACAGATTTAATTATTTTGAAATTGTTTTAAATATTCACGAGCAAAGAATCAAAAGTGTATATTTTAATTAGTTGAAGATTAAATGTGCTTAATTAGTTAGTGAGATGTGGCAAAGACTAAAATACCTGATGTAATGAAGTGGCATATAAAGAAGAGCTGGAGAGCAAAAGATATCCGTGAAAAATTCATCGTAATTTGCATTTTTTTTTTTTTGACAAATACAAGGAGTTAAAGAAATATTTATAATAGCTTGGATATATATATGTTAATTAATTAATAGAAAGTGGTCCAAATCCTTCTTTGATTTTACTTCAAGTTTAACAGCTTGCCTTTCTTTATGAAGAAGAAATTAAATAACCTTGACGATATTAGATGTGTGCCTATCTCACTTAAAGTAGTACTATTATTTTTCTTCCAGTTAACATAAAATGAGGTGGCAGATGTAGAATTTAACTAATTAGGTGTAATGATGCACTCAATTGCTTTTAAGAAATAATAATACCTGTAAATAAAAGGAGAAAGAAATTATATTGAGTAGCTTTTAAACTACAAATAGAATGTCAAATAAGAAAAGATTATAGTACATGGTGAAAAGAATCCCAAAGGCAGGCCCATGGAAAATAATCTCTCTATCGAATCAGTAATATCTCTATCAAGCAGGCTAAGGATTAAGTCTAAATATACTTCATTCTCATTCGTCCGAAGATCACAATAAATATGTTATTGTTATTATCAAAACCACCACGAAGACCTTTTGATTTATTAAACAAAGTTGAGTAACTTTTTAAGTAAACTACTTGAAGTTGAGTGATTTTTTAAATGAACTAGTCAAAGTTGAATAATTTTACAAGAAATTAACTCTATATTTTCACTATAGATGTAAGCTTATACTATAAGTATTCGCAAAAAATCTTCACATATTTAGTTTCTAAGTATCAATATTATAAAGAAAACTCTTCCATTTTTTGTGTACCAAAATTATTTTGCAAGTAATAAAATGGACAAGTTTATCTATTTTCTGTTTAATTTTCAATTTTTTCTTTTCAATTGCGTAACAAAAAACTAAAGTATCTTGCAATTCATTTTGAATTGTAGAAGGATTTTATCCTTGCATACCTAATTAATACCACTGATCAATTTGCTTATCCCTTTATTAACAACTAACGGTGAGTAAAACAAACAGTTTTGTTGTGGCGCATCCACAAGTTGGGACTTTGTAACCTCTGTTATATAAATAAAAAATAAAGCTCTGCTCCTTTTAAACAAAAGAAAAATATTCCTGTATTTCTTTTTTGTAGCCTGCCATATTTTCTTGTATTATTTCTCTGTTTCATTTTTATTTATTACTACTATTTATAAGGCAAAAATTAATTGAAGAAATTGGATGAATGAATGTCAATTGGATTGATTCCGAAGACATTTACAAAAGTTAATTAATTAGATTTGTCTCATTTGTAAGTACAAATTATGATTTAAGTTATATACATTAATATTGGTAAAGATTCATTTATGGTACCATAAGAGAAATTTAACATCTTATAATATGTTAATTATAGTTACTAATTTCTTATCGGACTACAATTAATGTTTACCAAGTGCTTAATTAAGAGTTCTCTAATTACATAACAAGTGACGTGAATGCTTACATATATTTTACACCATTAACACATAAACCAT